TGGGCTTGGCCCATTCCTTTGATCCACTAAAGCCTTTGAAGGCTTACCAAGGGAATAGGCTTATAAACCCACAAAAGTTTCTTCCCCCCACCAATGTGGGATACAAAGGAAATTGCCAACTTGCAATTCCTTTATATATAAAGTTCCAACAGAGAGATTATATCCATATCCAAATTAACACACTAAGAATTAAAGTCTAAGCTAATTCCCGAAGTAAAATAAACATATATTGAAGTTGCAACACTACTACAGTAAATCAGAAATACTTTTACTCATCTACGTCACTTGTATGAAATTTATTACTTTATTTTTAACCCTGAAAGTTTCAATGAACAACACTCTTACACACTCAAAGGATTTAACTTACACATATACTATCCTGGAAAATATAGGATTTTCTAGGGATTTCTACTACTCTCAACATTTATTTCAGCTTTTATATTACCTGATTGTAAACACTTTTATACAACAAATGATACTAAAATCTTATAAACTCACCAGCTTTATGCTGATACTCGTTTTCAAAATAACTTGTATCCTCAGGTCCAAGATAGACAGGTACTGGTGCAGCTTTTTGGAAGATGGATCATATACAAGACTCATCTTTTATTTTTGTTATACTTTTGGTGTCTATCAACTGTACATAACACGTTTGTATTTAAAATCACTATATTAATGCAATGGTTGTCGTCGCTTGTTTTTACTATTATGCAATTGTTATGATATTGTACATGACATCCTTCACCCCAGAACGTATTCCGCCGTTCTCGGTTTTGGGGTGTGACACTATCATGGTTCGCATCACTTCCTGAACTTCTGCCATTGTGATAGGTTCGCGTGCAGGCGTAACGACCGATGTATGACCCATCACATTCTTAGTCTCAGGTTGTCATCTTCCTCTTGTTTTGTACACCCAAGCAGACGTTCGGTGTACCGAGGCGATAATTTAAGATAGGAAAGATTTTATTTACAATAGATGTATAAATCTCCTTATCACACTGAAACGTTACATGCTAGTTCTAATATCGTAATCATACGCTTAGAATCTGAACACATAAGGTTTCCAGATCCGATCGGCAACAAACCATAGATCCGAACAAATAACAGCATATAAGGCATCTTTATAGCTATAACATAAATCATTTAGCACATAAAACATTTTAGACATTTTTCCTAAAATAAACTAGTTTTCGTGTCTAAATTATAGTAGACACTCATCTCACAATCATCGCTTAGCATTCTAAGTTTAAGTCTAGAAATTTCCTACAAATTCCTAGTTCGCTTAAACTAATGTTCTGATACCAACTATGACATCCCCATTTTTCACGGCCAGAAAAGACCGATTTTGTTTATGCTTTATAAAATAATCAGAGTAACCCTTTTAATAAAAATTTTGCGGAATTTGTTCCCAGTAAAACATGATAAATATGTTGTCAAATCATTTTTGAAGAAGTATTTTTATTCATTTTAAAACATTTGGGATGTCATCGTCAATACAGAAACATAAGCATAAACAGAACTTACATTCATTATCACAAGTGATTTATATTTCCTTAATCTCTCAGTGTAATGTGACTTCATATCAACACCTATGATATAGATAAGCTGAGTGGGTCAGGTTGGGAAACCTGGTGAGTACATAGGGTTTTCAACCCACAATAAACAATTTTATTAACTTTATCACACCAAACAAACCTGATTACCCGTTCCCGTTATCCTAACTTTACGTCCCTAAAACATCTAACACAAGGGACCTAATCTAAGGACTTTCTTCGGGGTGAGAACACATGCCTCGGGGGTTCCTCAGCAATTCATGTCAATTAAGGCAACCATGTGGGAGATGGAGTACTGCTGGTGAGCACACAGTTCAAATAAACACACAGTTCAAATAAACACCTATAGGTTGCGAGCCTGCTAGCGTTCCACTGGACTGTCTAGAATAGTCCGTGGTCATCATCTATACTCCGCTAGATAACTGGATCATCAATAACATCTATATTGAGGCCTCTCATTATTTTATTTGGTTACACAACAACAATTACATTTACCCATGCTTTACCCAACACATTTTGTAGATATAAAATACATATACAATTTAAATCATTTAATACATGTATAAAAATATTTCACCCAACATAGACAACAAGCATTCAGACAATATTCACACATAGCACTTAATTTATATTAAATACTTCATATATATATATATATATATATATATATATATATATATATATATATATGTGTGTGTGTGTGTGTGTGTGTAAGATGAAAGAGACCATGCACTCACTTGTTAAGGTGGTGACTCGGCACTCGGACATCATTTCGTTACTCTTAAAACAATTTCCCTCGACAAAACCTAGTATCATTACCACTAGATTTTAGTCTAATATTTACCATGACTAATTATTATTATTATTATTATTATTATTATTATTATTATTATTATTATTATTATTATTATATAAGCGTTTAAACAATACTTTCCAACCACTATGTACAGACAGGGCCAGACATAAAACACCAAATGGCAGGACCATTTTGGCATATAGCACTTCTGAAATCCAACAACCCTATGCGGCTCTTTAAACCAGATTCCCCATACCGCAAGTAGTTAAAAAGATATTATAACGACACTTATATAAGTCATAATAATAGCTCAAATATTAATTATAAGTTTATAATAACAATACTAATTTTAAATATAAACTATATTAAAAATAGGGTAAGCATAACTTACTTACAAGGGGATTTTAGCTAGGAGTCGGGCTCTGCAGGGGCAGAACTTCGTCGCTGAGTCTTTCTAAGAAAGATTCGTGTAGCGCTTCAGCGCTCACCTTACTATACTAAAACTACAGAAAGAGAAGTCGAATCACGAGGGACCGAAATGCTCGGGGGATAAGAAGAGAAAGACTCTTGAATTAAGATACTGGTGCAAGAAATATGAGAGCCCAAACATTTTATTTATAGTAATTGAATTTACAAAAAATATCATCCATAATTACTTAATGACCTTATAGTTATATAAACAACTAAACACCCCTTTATAATACTATTTTAAATAGATTTAACGATATTTATACTAAACTAATGTCGAAAGAACTCAACATTAGTCTTATAATGACCGCATCGTCGATACCTTTCTAATGATATATACATATGTATATATATATATATATATATATATATATATATGTGTGTGTGTGTGTGTGTGTGTGTGTGTACGTATATATGATTTATACTTTATTTTAATACGTAAATATGTTATTATAATTTGTAACTCGTTTATACGAACTCCGTTTTTGACGTTATTTATATCCACACATAGGTGGAGACGTACTCTACAACTTTTTTTTAGACTCTATCGGCTAATTTTGAGTTTATTTTTAAAGTTATATTTTTAACAGGCCGGGACAGGATTTGTCCGTTAAAATCTCATAACTTCTTCATTCGATGTCCATTTTCGTCTGTCTTTTTATCATTACACTACTAATAACGAGATCTTCGATTCTCGTTTAGGTTGTGTGGGCTAAAAACCGCTCGATCTAATACTCGAACTTTGGGCTGTACACCGTTAAGCCGAAACTTCGAAAAATCATAACTTCCTCATACGAAGTCAGATTTGGGCATTCTTTTTTATGGACGCTCTCAGGTTAATATATTGTACGACTTTCATTTAGATTACTAAGGCTAAAAGTCGCTCTATCATAAATTCACTATTTACGTCTTTCCGGTGTCGTGCCGGTTCCGTCGCGAAACTTCGACGGGTCATAACTTCTTTGTTATAACTCGGATTTCGGCGCTCTTTATATGTACGAAACCCAGACATATTCTACAACTTGATGAAGATTATTTATTCTAAATAATCTTTTGTTGAAAAGTCGTTTTTGGCCCCTATTATCTCTAAATTGACTTAGATTGGATCTACGGGCGTTACATTAATGACAACTTAATGCCTAGAATCAACCACTAAGCACTTATTTCTTAAAGCCCTCAATCCACAACTTTCAGAAGGGTTTTAGGAACCCTATTGATCCTTAAAAATGCAAACTTTATAGACATACATGCACCATGTATGTCCTTTCCAAATCTAGGTCAAAAGATGTAACATGACCTAAAATCCATGCAAAGTCCCCAAATTAAAACCACATCCTAGATCTATAAGATATAATGCTCTTGGGACTCAGAGAGATCACAAAGTTGCAACCTTTATCTCTTCTACTCATTCAATCTTCACAAATGGGGAAAATATAACATAAAACCAAGATCTAAAAGACATACAACAAAAATATGAGAGTTTTGAGAACTTACAAAAGTACAGAAGCTACACACAAGGATGATGCGAGGTTGCTTGGTGGAACTAAGAACTAATTCTTATTCTCATTATTTAAAAACCACCACAAGCTTGCAAAAGTGAGATAAAAAACCTCAAGAGGGATAGGTCTGGCCAAAGGGGCATTTGGAGGTAATGGCGGCTGAGAATGGAGTAAACCCTATCCTCTCACTTCCTTTAAATAGGGTCCAAGTCTGAAATTAGGCTTTTGCATCTGATTAGGTGTCACGTCGTGACCCATAGAGTGTCACGTCATGACCCTTGGATGACCCTTCCTGCATAATGCGAGCATGTCACGACTTGACGGTGCCTCCCTTACGTCGTGCCCCCCCCCCCCCCCCTTTAAAATCCATATTTTACTTAAAATTTCGTACATTGGGGATCCTGATGTTACATGAATGTTTTCTTTCCCTGGAGCATTTGAAGACTCAAGAGTTAGTATATTTGAATATACTAAAAGGTATGATTCTTATCCTTGTGTTTTTGATTTTAGTAGGTCAATAGTTGTTTCATAAAGTATGTTGCTATAATAGTGAAAATGTCATAGAAGTTCTAGGTTGCATATGCCCTTAAAAGTTTATGAATAAAAATCCGATGTGCAAATCTTTATATTGTAACCTAGAAATCCCATCATAAGTTAAGTCAGTTTTTAAGTATACCAAGAAAAATGCATATAGATGTAGCATATTGGGTGCTTCGTTACTTGAAAACCATGCTTGGACAAGGTTTGTTTCTACCTTCGTTTAGGAACCTCAACCTAATAGTTTATTGTGATGCCAGTTAGTTGAGTTGTCCATAAACAAGGAAATCTTATACTGGTTATTTTATTAGTTTGGAGGAACTCCTATTTATTGGCGAACAAAGAAACAGAGTGTTGTTATCAGATTGTTAGTTGAAACATAATATAGATCAATGGCCTAACACGGTGCGTAAGATAGTTTGGTTAAGATGGATTTTACAAGATTGTGATGCTACACAAGTTGGAGCTGCACCTTTAATGTGTGGTAATGAACTAGCCAAACACATCACAGTTACTCCAGTATATCATAAACGCACCAAACATGTGGAGATGACAACTTTGTTAGAGAACGAGTAGTTAATGGTGAAATAAAGTCTTGTGCTATCCGTTCAGAATTTCAAACTGCATACATATTTACTAAAACTTTAGGGGTAGATCCAGTGGCAGACCTATGTAGGGCATTTGGGGTCCCGGGCCACTGCTCAATTTCCGGCACGCAATGTAATTTTTTTTTTTCTATTACGTGCACCCATTTGAAGTACGAGGGATGCCCTACTAAAACAGTCTGCATCCGCTACTAGGTAGATCGCTTTTGATTACTATGCATCAAAGTGGGTGTTCGTGATCTTCAGAGTTCAACTTGAAAATAAAATTTAAGGTTATTGTAATTATTTTTGATATTATTAGTTTTTTCGGTTTATGTTTTCCTTGCTCAACAAGCCGTAGAGTTATTATCTATTTAGAATTCTTATCCAGTTAGTTTTGCATTCTATCTATATCCGATCAAAAGTTGTATTCATATGTTGTAACGAAAGTGTAATAAAGTGTGGGGATAAATGACATTTAAGTCAAGATGAAAGATCGACAGGCGCATTTTATGTCAACGATATTGGTGGCACGATCTGAAAATTAGTCGGACAATGAAGGGTATAATTGTAAATAGGCAAGTATAAAACGACGACTTGAGGGCAGAGTCTGTTTCATGTGTTGCCAAAAGGGCGAACGAAGCAGAGCAAATTCCGTTATCTATCCACACCAAAATTCAATCTTTTCGCATTCTCTCAATCCTTGATATCCATCGTTTTCTCTGAATCGGTATCTTTGCTCTTCGAGAAATTTCGCTTGTTTTTTTGATCTGGAGGTTTTTTCAAATCGAATTTTCTAGGGTTTTTTTGAGAATTCATCAGCCATGGTTTACGATTCGATCGCCAACGCTTCGATCCCGACTGCGGTTTCCAATCCGAAGGAAATTAGCAAGAAAAAGCGGGTACATTTATTGAATTCTATTCAATTGTTCGATTTTCTGATGCGTATCGTTTGATTGATTGATAGTTGCGAGAGAAACGTGTTGGTTTTTTCTTTTTGGGAAAATAGGACGTTCTTCTTGTTATTTTGTTACGATCTAACCTGATTTTTTCAATCTTGAAGGTGAACAGGACTGCCAAATTGAAGCAGTGCAAGCTTGATGCTCGTCGTGAACAGTGGCTTTCTCAAGGTGATTTTTCTCAGTTTTTTGTATCATTTGTATTTGATCTGATATGAGTTGTATGTGCTCTTATGGTTAATCAATTTTTTTTCCTTATAGTGAAGAACAAGGGGTTTAAGGAAGAAAATAAAGGCGATGTTCGTGCAAAAATGCCTGCTTCAGACATGCATGCCTCAAACGAGGGAGATCGATCGCTGGTGAAATTAGTGATTAATCCTGGTGGTGAAGAGAACGATGGTTTGATGAATCATTACAGCGATTGGGAGTCGCCTTCCAACAGCCCTACTAGTCATACAAGCAGCTTGGGAAGTAACAGATCAGTGGCTAATTTCACCGGTAGTAGTAGCCGGAGCAGCAGCAGTAGCAGCGGTGGTTGTTATTCAGAAAGCATGACAGAAGAAGATGATGGTGACGATGGATGCTTGGATGATTGGGAAGCAATTGCTGATGCTTTAGCCGCCGATGACATTAAAACAATCATAACCCTAATCCGGACTCCACAACCGCATCATCAGAGCTAGAGCCTGTAGAAACAATCAAAGAGGATCAAGAGGATTCCCATGCACAAGTGAATCATCGAGCCTGGAGACCAGATGATGCTTATCGTCCTCAAGGTCTCCCAAATCTGCTAAAACAAAACAGTTTCCCCATGAATTCAGATCGCCATTATAAGAACGTTGGATTTGCATTTGCTCCATCAACATGTCCGATATGCTGTGAAGATCTTGATTTGACAGACACCAGTTTTCTTCCTTGTCCATGTGGGTATAGACTATGTCTTTTCTGCCACAAGAGGATTCTTGAAGATAATGGTCGTTGTCCAGGGTGCAGGAAGCTGTATGAACAACATGCAGAACAGGGGATTGCAGCTTCCAAACTGGGTCGTTCTCACAGCATGATCCCCAGGCGTTAGAAGAAAAGTATGTCGTCCTTTTCATGTGTGTCTTTTATGTTTACATATTAGAAGAAAAAAAAAAGACTGATATTAGTGGTAGGTATGTCCATAGACAGTGTTTGGGAAAATATGATCTTGTGAGTTTGCCTATAGGACTTGTTGGGTGTTGGGTGTTGGTATGTGAATACATAAAAAAATGGCATATAAAAAATCGAATACATAATTTCCACTTATGAGTTCAATATCCATCATTACTGATATAATGTTAATCTGTGTTTATAACCTGATTGAAATATGTGATATGTTCTCAAAGATAAACTATGAAATCTTCACTTGTCATTTTTGTATGGGATTTGAATCTAATAAGTGTAACCAAACGTAAAAGCATAGCCAACATTTGTTAATTTGGATACAAATAATAAGTTTGGAGTTATGTGCAATATATAAAGAGTATCATTAAAAATTAAAGCTTAACTAATGATCCCCTTCTTGATCCAACCACTTTTATGTTTAAAATTCTCCATATCTTTCTAAATTTCCGGGATCATATTTGCCAACATAAGGCAAACAACATAATGATCACCTTCTAGTTGATCTGAATAGTAGCTGTCTAGTTCTTAGGAGGCGTATTAGGTAAAAAGGTTTTTAATGATGTGTAACTTCTGTTCATGTGTGAGGATGGATGATCCTCAAATTCCAATACCAGTCGCTTTCAGTTTCTCATTCGCTTAAAGAGAAGTGAGAGACAAGTTCTTTATGGATGTTACGATCATTTAAAAAAAAAATTTAAGTTTAATTTTAGTATTAGTATTTTTGATATTAAATAGATCACCCTTATATCATTTATAAACCTGCAGTTCTTATGTTAACGCTTGGAATAATTCATTATTGACCATTTTTGTAATAATTATTTTAGTGTTATAATATTTACATATTGTGATTATAAACTGTGAAAATATGACATACTTGGTACCCGATCTTACAAAATTTACTTGATGGAAGTAACTATGCGTTACATATAAACAAAATTGCAAAAATGGTTCATGTGGTTAGGTCAAAATTGCTACTTTGGACCAAAAAGGTTTGGGCTAGCACTCATGGTCCAAAGGTTTTCATTTTCTTATCACTTTAGTCCAATTTACTTTAAACTTTATTGTAATGACCAATTTGCCCTTGTTTTTTGTTTTTTCAGGTTTTTTATTTATTAAAATACTTTTATGATTATTAAAAGAAAAAGAAAAAAGAAAATCTCTCTCTCTCTCTCTCTCTCTCTCTCTCTCTCTCTCTCTCTCTCTCTCTCCATACACCTTTAAACTCCAATGTCCTTTTCTGCCATCATAACCACTACCAGTCCACATTACCGCCGCCACCAACACCAGACGCCACCAACAGTCGGATGTCGGAAAATTTAACTAGCTCTGACGAGATTATTTTTTGGCAAGAAAAAAAATTACTGATGGGTCTCGAACTTGATTTTCGGCTCGAAAAAATTGCATGTGTGTCAGTGGGTCTCAAACTCCCATTTTAGGAATAATGATTTATAGGTGGGAGGTTCAGCGAAACTCAAATAAATATCAACCCAAAACTTAAGATGATTGTGTTCAAAGTGTTCTTGGTATGAACAAATAGAAGCCTAAAATGTAAGATCTGAAATCTTGTTCATAGTGAAGCAAATCAAATTATTGTCATTTTGGTTCTTGTGTTCCAAAAATGACCACCGATGAGCAAACCCTAGAACTTAACTGTAACATCCGAAAAATACAACCAAATTTAAATTTTTCAAAACAACCCGATTTTCATTAAAATGTTTACAAAAAGGTTTTCAATACAAATTATTAGAGTGTTCCCAGAATCACATTGCTACAAAATCATGAGGAGCGGTACGATCGCGCCTTCGCCTTGCCAGGGTCTCCTGAAGAACCTGAAAAACATTAAACCACAACTGTAAGCCCGAAAGCTTAGTGAGATACCCCCAAGATACCAACCACGCATACGCCCTTCCAGGCTGCGACCTTCCGGTCCAAAACATACATAACATAACATAACATAGAACAGCCATGCATATCGGGTCTACTGCGTGACTGGTCCGCCGTATCGGGCCTTCAGTCCATCGGATCCATCCTCCAGGTCTAGTCATGTCCTTCGAGTCTACAGTGGGGTTGGTTCGCCCGCATCGGGCCTTCAACCCACCTGGTCCACTCTCTGAGTCTACAGTGTGACTGGTCTGCCCGCATCGGGCCTTCAGTCGGCCTGGTCCACTCTCCGAGCCTCGGCACGTCTGGTCCGCCCTCGTGGGGCCTACAGCCTATCCGGACCGCTCGCTGGGCCTTCGGAACAACCGGTCCGCCCTGGGTATCTTGGCCTACAGCACAAAGCAGGACCCGCCTCAACCCATCTCCAATCCAACAACCATGTGCACAAAACATACATTCATATAACAGTCATGGTCAACAAACGAGCAAGCAGATCACATGGCATATCATTACCCTAACCGGGTTACCGACCTAACCGGTCACTAGCATAGCACCACTCTGTATATCGGGAAACTGACCTTAGCAAGGCCTCCTAGCATGTACCATCCTAGCTACCAGGATGCAGACACATCAAACAATAACATAATAACCATAACCGAATCTCAATACAATAAAGGGTCGGCCTTGGTGCCTTAGACCCTGTGATATAGTAACCGAATCTCAATACAATAAAGGGGCCGGCCTTGGTGCCTTAGACCCTGTTGATATAGTGAGGATAACTCACCTCGAAACTGTCGGCTGAAAAGATAAGATCTTGCTGCTCCGAACTCTGAGACGAACTCCTCCACTGAACATCAAAACATACAACTCAACAAATACCCTTAATTACCAAAATACCCCTGGAAGACAACTGGTCAACCTTGGACAAGTCAAAGTCAACCCCTGACTGACCCTACTCGCCGAGTCAACCCGATGACTCGCCGAGTCCATACGCTCAGAACCTCCTTCATCAGCGACCCAACTCGCCGAGTCACCCCAAGACTCGTCGAGTCCAACACTCTGAGTCCACTCGCACCCAACTCACCGAGTCATCCCTTGACTCACCGATTCCTCGACTCAACCAGAAATATTGGGACTTCCTCGACAAGACTCGCCGAGTCCAAATGGACTCGTCGAGTCCAAGGCTATCTTCAACCTACTCGCCGAGTTGTTCTTCCAACTCGTCGAGTTCCAGGCCATCTTCAAGCAACTCGTCGAGTCCACCCATGTGACTCGTTGAGTACCACCGGTCTGAATCCATACAGAAGCATCTCAGGCCATGCAATTGATCCAAAACATAGATCCAACCTCCTACAATCCATCCATCACGTAAAGTGGCAAACTTTACGTGAATCTAAGGAGATCTAAGCCTTATTCACCTTAGAACCAAGGTTTGGGACATGGTGGCTTCACTAAGCACTCAAACACAGGAACTTTAATGCACTCTAGGCCTTCAATATTCCAGATCTGAGGTAGCAACCTCAGATCTAACCTCCAAACTCCAAAACATTCCAAGATATACTCCCCACAAACCCCAAAATGATGAAACTAGGAAGATACAGCCCAAGAATGAAAGTGTTACCTCCAAAAGGTGCCTCAATAGCAACCAAACTCGAATCCAAGCAAAGCCCTTTGATCCAAGCCACTTCTCCTTCAAGATTTCTTCAACCAACACCTTTCCAAGCTCTAATTTGCTCCACAAATGAACTCTCCACGAATTTAGGGTTTCTGGAACTCAAAGGGGGAATAAGGGAGGCTGTGGAGGGGTATAATGCTCTTTATATAGGGCTCAACCCCGAAAATTAGGGTTTTCTCCATACAGCACCTACTCGCCGAGTCCATCTTTGGACTCGCCGAGTAGGCCACTAGACACGTGACCATAGCCGCGACCTGACTCGCCGAGTCTATCCATGGACTCGCCGAGTCACCCTCTAAAACTTACACTTTTAGCCCTTCAACTCTACTCTTGCGATTCCGGGATGTTACATTAACCTGAAATCTTTGGAGTCTTGATGAACTTAACTTGAAATCTTCAGAAAACCCTTCATAACTCCAAAAACTCTAATTTTGATTTTGGGCTTCTTCACGGATCCAACAACCACCAACTCAATTTCTTATACAACCATCATCACTGCAGCTACCAAGTCAGATTGAAGATAAACCTCCATGGCAGACTACGATTTCACAGTTCGAGATGACCCCAAAATCTTAGCATCTTCGTTTTACTGATGAAGAAAGAGAAACAGTGGGGTTGACGACCATAATGTGAGTGTATGCGTGCCTAAGCTCTTGAGAGACTGTAGAGAGATAATGGTGAGAAAGGTGTCGTTCGACCTCAAATATGGGTTGTATGTATGTGTTTTACGTTTATGATCAAAGTTGAAATCTGCAAAATCTTTGAAGAACAAAAATATCGAGTCTAAGTTCTTTAACATTTGGTTTCATGTTTTTCAGATCTCTTGTGTTCATCTTCATTTTGGTTCATCTGGCGTGTGTTTTTATGTAAAAACAGGTATGTGTTTATGTTTAAGAACAAATCGAGAATGGATCAGTCGGAGAAGGGGAAATGTCGGCACTGAGAGGAAGCATAGAAATCTTGGGAAGAACAAGTGGGTGGAGGATTTTGACTTTCTTTTTCACAGGAGAGAGGGAGAGAGGGGATGGCGAGGGAGGGAGAGAGAAAGATGTATTTTTTTCTTATAATTATTAAAGTATTTAAATAAAAAAAAAAACAAAATCCAAGGGCAAAATCGTCATTACAAATAAGTTACAGTAAATTGGACCAAACTAACAAGAAAATGAAAACCTTTGGACCATGAGTGCTAATCCAAACTTGTTTGGCCCAAAGTAGTAATTTCGACCTAAGCACATGGACCATTCTTGCAATTTTGTCTTACATATGAGGGGAATCTGGTTTCCTATTAGATGTGTCTGATACGTATACAGAAGGGCATGAAATTTCTCTCTCAATGAGTTCCATAAGAACATCTGGTTATTCAAATACGCTCTCTCGCTTTTACTGAGGATACAATGTGTGTTTAATATGATTCTAAAAGTTTCTGCAACACCACATCAATCTAGGATTGTTCTTTTGTTGGATTTAATCTCTTAACATAAGACAACTTGCAATAACATTAGTGTGTTGGAAGAATGTAAAAGAGAGGTTCTTGCACAACAAAAACACATAGATCCATTTTATTAAACTACACACATAATGACAATCACAAGTTGAACCTTGACAACCATTGTGACTTTTCAGTTTTCAACCCAACCATCACAAACCAACCAAATAAAATTACAAAACTAACCCTAATTAGTCGCGGAGAAATCAAATTTCAACATATCAGACTTTTACTTTTTCCCGCAACATAGACAAGATAGATTCTCCCCAAAACACATCCTGTTTCTGTATCTTATCATCAGAACGCCACTTCTCAACTCGTTTATCCACACTCTCCACTTCCTGCTTACCCTTCTCAACACTCTTCTTCTTAGTTTCAAAAACCTGTTTCTGAATCTCCTCAACCTCAGCAACAAAACTACTCTCACAAACAACCTCATCAAAATCCATACCATTCGCATGTTCATACCATCTCTGTGTAAACTTATACCTCTTCGGCCTATATTTCATATACCCATCTCCCTTCAAATGTCGATAATAATTCGCAATATCCAGCGGCTCAACAAGCCGCCTAAACACCGTCCCCACCTCCACCCAATCCTCCCGCCCCTCAAATTCATCCGGAAGATCCTCCCGCATCACCATTTCAACAATCACATCCCATATCTTAGCCAACTCTAGCCTGTTCATATTAGCCTGAAAGTCTGCTTTCTCATTTTGAAGCTTGAATGCCTCGTAGTAATCTACATTAGTATCTTTGTAGTTACGGATTTCACTCAGAATATCCCCAATCATCTTCGATTCAGTCCGAGATTCAGATTGCTCTCTTCTCAATGACTTATCAATCACCCTCTGGTTTTCTTCCTTCCTGTTCTCCGCCTCCTCAGCAGCGATTATACAGCATCTTGCACTTGTACTCTACAACAACACAACACAAATCAATTTAGGTCAACAACAAAATGGTAATTTGTGAATACCACTCACCAGTTGAAACAGAGCTTCGTTACTTGTACGATCCGCATCACCTGCAGTACCGTTAGGAGTCAACAACTTGTCGTTGAGGTCTTTCAGGTCGACCAAGTTTTCCAGGTGCAACCCGTTCTTCAATTCTTCTTCGTAACTAAAACTTTTTGAGAAACTTTTGTACGCAAAATCAACTAGCTTTTGATTTTCATCGGTTAGCTGTAAGAAATAAAACAGTAACTGTAGAACAGCGTTCGGGTTTTCCACCCGAAACTGTTGAGAATGGCTAGTGCAGAAAACGTAAAAACCCGATGGTCTATACGGAGAGACTTTTACAAAGTCAACCGATAGCTTCTCCATTAGAGAATTTGTAGTTCCATGAGCTCAAATGCAACATGACTTGCAACTGTTGATGCATTTATTATTACATTCTCAAAGAACTCAACGCATTCAGCGTCTCCTATCGACTGATCTTCATCCATTGGTTGTCTCGCACTCGATTTTTTACGCTTATGATCGATGGGTTTGACTTTCTGTTGGAAGAATTTGAGAATGCTAGGTAGATGTTGTTGAATTGATATCTTAGGAGATAGCATCATGCGAGGAACAATGTCGTGGTCCATGACAAAATGGGTAAAATGACCCGCCCATTTCTCACGCCGGACTGCGTGGGACAGGGTCCGATCACCAATCAGAGGTGACCCGAAAGTGACGCACCCGATTGGGAGTTTTTTACCGCGTTTTTTTATGTATTCATCGAGCATCCAAAGTGTGGCAAAACTTGCTGTCGCACCACCATATAAATGCCCGTGAATAAAATCTTCTTGTTTGCGTTCACAGCTTTCTCTATCTGAAATTTTTACAGTTTGACTTTCGGTCAATGTTCTTCGTTTTCAAATCTAAAGTTATAACTTGAAAGTAAAGTTGTTAGATTTATACCTCGGATTTGAACGTGGAATCGTTTAAAAGATCTTGAAATCTTTTAAGAAACGCTGCGTTGACTTTGGCGGGTCGATTCTCTCCGATCCGGCACAGGGACTTGAAGAGTTTACGATCAACCTCGGTTTCTCCAAAAGATCACCATGGTACCAGTTGCTGACTTCCCACGATCCTGGAAATGCGAAGATAGCAACCTCCATTGATGGTTTCTTGTTGAGGTTTGTGATGAAAGGTTTGTTTTGTTTGTGGGCTTCCATGGATAGAGATTGAGCTGTTTTTGTAAGCTCATTGCTCAGGCTGAGTTTCACTGATTCTTTCTCTACCTCCATTTTCTCTCTTTGTAAAACACACACTAAAAGAACAGTTTGTAAGTTGATTTTGATTGTTTTTCCAGTTGTTGATTGGTGTTTAGTTAAATATATAGGGGATGAAATATTATAAAATAGAACGAAGAAATTACATGGAACGTGAGGATGGTATGAAATTACAATTTGAACCCTTTTGAAGGATAGCGATCATTTTAAAGTCAAAGAAAAGACGACCATAGCAAAGTTTGTGAAGCGATTTCACAAGTGGATTTTGTCCACTTGTTTGTAGCCAGTAGGCTTCCTTGAAGTTTCATGGTCATTCGAACGACGATTTTTAGGAGACGACTTGCAATTTTGTCTTGGTTTGGGAAATTGGGACTCAAATTCCTTGAAACCCTCAACGTGTGCTAAATGTGTGTTACTTGTTTTCGTTCATATATTATTTATTGGTTATAATAAGTGTATATGAATATTATGTGATACATGTAAACTAGTAAACTGTAAGATGATCCCACACTTCCAAGAGGTATGTATACGTAGGTATCATGTTCTTTTGATATTTGACCTTTTATGTTTTTTTTTTCTTCCTGTTAGACCTACTTGTTCAAGCTTTAGCATAATGAACAAGTTTCAAACCTATCTTTAAAGTTTTAGCTAGTCACACTTGTAATATCAAGGTCTTCCATTTTATATAATCGGCAAAATATACGAGTTGAGTAACCTATTAAAACGGACAATTTTTGAGTTGGGATAATCCAAACGTTTTTTTAACCATTTATAAACATTTAGTGTGTTAATATGATTACAAAAGTATGTTGTTACCATGAATAATTCATTTTTTGTATAAAACGGATCAAGTTAGAGAAAAGAAGTTGATGATCTTCAAGGTGGACTTTGAAAAGTCGATAACCCGATAGAAAGGGTAAGTGCATTAGGCATAAGTAATGGGTAAACCATAAGACTCTAGGGATAAAAACTCACAATGTAAGCTACCTTTGATGCACTTGTGTTGTGGTGTGTACATAAACCCCGCCCATGACGGCCTTCCCATCTTGCTTTGAGAGGTGACGAGTATCAGGGCTCCAAACATTAGAGTTTGTTTTTTCTGGTAAGCACGTTTGGGTGAGAGTCCCAAATGTGATTTTAGTCTAAGTAATTGCAATCACAACCTCCAACTAGTTTGGATTGGAGAAGCCTATATTGGAATTGTCACAACGACATTTGGTGGAAAAACTTACTGTTGTAAAGCCCATGGAGGCTTTGACGTTACAAAAGAATTCAACGGCTTGCTCGCAGATGGATAGATAGAGGCTATACATACTTTTTGATTTCCGCTTTTAAGCCACGAGGAAACCACCCAATTGATTACTCTTCAGTCCGATAAAAAATTAAAGAAGAGAGGGCCTTAATTTCAATTATGTATTTTTCGATGTCATCATTTAAGAAAATTGAACCCAAAGCCTTGTGGGGATTACAGGTTACAGAATTGGTCTCATGTTGTATTAAGGTGCTTAATCAAACATGTTAGTATATCAATGAAGGTTCGATCCATCCATATGGAAGAGATAAAGTTTCTAGGCTTGTATAATTGTGTATCCAGGCAACTTTTTTTTTCCTTACTCTAGCTCTCAAAATGGTAGATGGGGCACTGTACTAGTCTGGCGCCAACTCCGCCACCTTCAAATGTACAGTATTAAGACTCAACAACCCCTGCTCCCCGTCTTCTTCCCATCGCATCATCAAATTCTTTGATGCTCTCCAATGCCTTACAACAGGGTTGACACGAGTGATGTCATATTAGGCATAAGTGACACGAGGACGTGTCAGGCATGACACGGGGCATGTCACTATAGTGTAATATGACACGAGGCCGTGTTAGGCATTCTCTTCAATGTATTTTTTTTCAAGGAAAACCTAGTAAACGACATCCGATTGCCCTCAAACTTTATAATAAGTAATACGATCACCGACCGGTTCTTGATCCAGGATCGAATATACCAAAATATCATCAATGAATACGATCACCGATCGATCCAGCATCGGCCTGCACACCTTGTTCATGAGATCCATGAACGCAGTTGGGGCATTGGTGAGCCCAAAAGGCATCACCACAACTCGTAATGTCCATAACGAGTTTTGAATGCAGTCTTCATATCTTCATCCTGGGCCCTCATTTGATGATAACCCGACCTCAAGTCTATCTTGGAGAACCAAGATGCCCCTGCAACTGATCGAACATATCATCGATCCTAGATAACGGATACCGGTTCTTGAACATCAACTTGTTCAACTCCGGTAATCAATACACATCCGGTGTGAACCATCCTTCTTCTTGACAAAAAGGATCGGCGCTCCCCAAGGTGAGCTACTCGGTCGAATAAACCCCTTCCCAATAGCTCCTGAAGCTGCGAGGATAACTCCTGCATCTCTGGCGGCGCAAGGCGATAAGCCACCTAGTTATGCGTTTTTGCGATAGGTGTTGGATTAGTGTCTAAGTCCATAACTATTTTGGTATGTACTTGACCCATGGTGCATGGTCCTTTTGGGTTGCCTTCACCAAAGCAACTTGATTGGAGAAATAAATAAAGAGAGAGAGGTTATTATGATTTATTAACATGTTATAAGATAATATATTAAAGGAGAAATCATATTTGTTTAATTAATATTGGTCAATAATTAATTAGGAATTAATTTTGTGATCAAGTGTAATTAATTAACTAGAGGGGCTGATTTGTAATTATGTGATAGTTACAAAATAAGGTAGGATTATCTTAATATAGGGTGAACGAATTTAAGG